CAGCGGTTCGAGTCCAGCCCGAGCTGAGCAGCTGCTGAGCTGCCAACAGGTAGCAGGATGGCTCAGCTAAAAAAAAAAAAAAAAAAAAAGATACCTTCTCATTATGGTGGCCATTATACCTCTGCCCCACTGTCGGACATAAGATGATGACACAGGAGAGTAGTATGAGATAAAGTAGAAGCGATAGCAGCTGTGGCCAGGTCGTAAATACGTTAATAAGAACAGAAACACTATACATTCAGCCATCTTCTCAGTTAATTTTCACAAACATTCTGGAGATAGGTATTGTCTTTATTTTGCAAATGATGAAATTAAGAATCAAAGAAGTTAAAACACTTAAGTGAGCCAGTACGCGCAAATCTAGTCTATCACCGAGTCCAAGAGCTCTCCACAATCACTACGATGCTTTTCCTAATCCTATGTATTATGAAAACCAGAATTTTGCAAGTAAAACACTCGAGGTGCAAGTATTTACTACTTCTAAAGTTGTTTCGTTGTTAAAAACTAAAAAGGTCCACAGGTCTTTAAACTGTCTCCCCCCTTCAAACTGACGAGAGAGATAAATTCCCAAATAATAACTACTGTATTTGTTTGCATGGTATAGCATTTTAAATCTGAAGCTTCTTTTAAAAATGAATGTTTTGCTATATTTATTGTTTCTGTAGTTTTAAAGACAAACCTGTTACTTCACTTTGTTTCATTTATTTTACGTTATAATGAAATGAATAGATATAAAGCAATTCTGAAACCAAGCTTGGTGTGAAAATATGAGGCAAAACAGTAAAGGAAGTAAAATAAGGCCTTTCCTGTGGCTAACTGATGATGACTCCATTAAATGTTTCTCAAAATGAAGAGGTAAAAATCTTGTAAATGGATACATAAGAATTACCTCTAGAGCAAATTTGGCAGCTAAATTGAGGAGCAGGACACGTGCACTTCTATCTGGAACTATGTCATACTCTTCTGTCTCTTCATTTGCTAATAAATCATCTAAAGCAATAACTGCCTCCCAAGCTGAAAAATAAGGAAACAATTAAAAAAATGAGATATTCTTATCAAAGATAATAGCTATCAATGGTAAACTATATCACAATGACTTTGGAACTCAAATTATGAGCAGTAATATCTTTAAAATATTAGTTAATTTTCATAGTCATCTAAATTGATAAACTGTCAAGAATGATTTCAATGTCAGAAAAATGCCCAACTGAGCAATTCACCTCTGTGAATTTATCCTATAGATACATATGCAAACGTGAACAAAAACATGCAAATATGTTTGTCCAGCAATATATATGAACTATGGAAGCAACTTAAATTCCATCTACATTGGAAGGGCTAAATACTTTTTGGTACATTCATAAAAAGGGATAAATACAGAATGAAGTAAAAAAAATGAATGGTGGTATTATATTCCATTACGCCTTAAAGGTAGACTATGATAAGCTAAATATATGTACTAAAGACCTTAAGTAACAAATAAAATAAGACAATGAGTTATAGCTAATAAGCCAAAATAAGATAAATGTAATCATAAAATTCAATTAATAAAAAAAAACACAAAAAAGGAAAATGGCAACAAAGAACAAATGGGACAAATAGACAAATAATAAGATGCTAAATTTAAACCTTGTCATATCAATAATCACGTTAAATATAAATGGTCTGGATGACCCAATTAAAAGGCAGAGCTAGTCAGATAGGATTAAAGAAAGCAACTTTCAACTTATGTGCTATCTATAAGAAACATACTTTAAATATAAAAACAAAATTGGTTAAAAGAAAAAGGATGGGATAACAAATACTGTGGTAAAGGCAATCAAAAGAAAGCTGGAAGGCTGTATCAATATCATACACAACAGATTTCAGAGCAAAGACTATTACCAGTGTTAAAAGGTTATTTCATGATGATAAAGGAGTCAATTCATTATGAGGACATAACAATCCTAAATATTTGTGCACCCAATAACAAAATTTCAAAATACAAGAAGCAAAAACTGATAGAGCGGCAAGGAGAAATTAATAAATCTACAATTATAGTCCAAGACTTCAAAACCCTCCCTCAATAATTAATAGAACAAATAGACATAAAATCAGCAAGGACAATTTAACACTATTAATCAACTTGACCTGATTGACATTTATAGAACGCTTGGTCCAACACCAACAAAATACACATTCTTCTCAAGTGCACATGAATATTTACCAAGAAAGACAATATTCTGGGCCATATAACAAGCCTCAATATATTTAAAAGGATTCAAGTTAAACAAAGTGATGATCTTTGACAATTAAATGAAATTAAAAATTAATAAAGTTCTCTGGAAATCTGCAAATGTTTGAAAATAAGCAACACACTTCTAAATAACCCCGAAGAATCAAAAGTTATATTGGAAAGCATTTTGAACTGAATCAAAATGAAAATACAACATATCAAAATTTGTGGATTGTCACTAAAGCAGTACCTAGAAGGATATTTATAGCATTAACTGTTTATATTAGACCAGAAAACAGGTCTTAAATCAATGATCTCAGCTTTCACCTTTGGGAACTGGAAAAAGAAGAGCGAATGAAACTCGAAGCAGAAGAATGGAAATGACAAAAATCAGAACAGAAATAAATTCAATCGAAAACAGAAAAAAACAATAGAGAAAAATTAATAAAGCCAAAAGCTGGTTCTTTGAGATCAATAAAATCAAGCAGCTTCAGGCCACGCTGACAAGGTAAAACAGCGGAGAAAGGTGACATCTAGCTTTTACATATGTTAAAAAGATAATACGGAAGATATAATGATTAACCTTAGGCCAATAATTTCAACTTAAATGAAACTGACAAATTTCTTGAAAGAAACAATCTACCAAAGCTCAATCAGGAAATAACAGATAACATGAATAGCCTTATGTGTATTAAAGAAAATGAGTTTATAGTTAACAACCCTGGCATAAAGAAAACTCCAGCCCCAGATGACTTTACTGGGGAACTGTACCAAACATTTAAGGGAGAAATTAATACCAACTGCTCAACACAAACTCTTCTAGAAAACTGAAAAGGAAGGTATTTTCCAACTCATTCTATGAAGTCAGCAGTACATTGATGGCAAACCAAAAACATTACAGAAAAACAAAACTGCAGACCAATATCACTCATTGGCACAGGTACAAATGTTCTTAAACAAACATTAGCAAATCAACTCTAATGTTATACATTATGAGCACGTGGAGCTTATTCCAGGAATGCAGTGGTGGTTTAACAGTTATAAATCAATGTAACTGATCATATTAGCAAAGTAAAAAAAAAAAGGTTAAAAAACCCAAAAAGCCAAAAACTGATCATTTCAATAGATGCAGAAAAACCATATGACCAAATTCAACATCCACTCCTGATTTAAAAAATAAATAAAAATCTCCCAGGAAACTGGAACTAGAAGAGAATTTCCTCAATCTGAAAAAAGGTATCTATGAAAAACCACATACTTAATAAAGACTAAATGCTTTCCCTCTAAAATCAGGAAAAAGCCAAGGATGTCTGCTCTTGCCAATTTTACTCAACACTGTATAGGAGATCCTAGCAAATACAATAAAACAAAAAATAATAAATTGCACACGGATTGGACAGGAAGAAGAAAAACTGTCTTGCTTTGCAGACATGATCATCTAAGAAGAAAATCTGACGGTATCTACAAGAAAACTACTGGAACTAATAAGTGAGTTTAGCAAATTTGTAAGATATAAGTTCAATATACAAAAATCATTTTTATTTCTACATATTAGCAACAGGAATCTGAAACTGATTTTTTTCATAATGCCATTTAAAATAGCATAAAATATGGTATACTTAGGGAGAAATCTGAAAAATGATGCACAAGACCTGTACACTGAAAAAGAGATCTGTGAGAGAAATTAAAGACTTAAATAAGTGGAGGTATATAATTTGTTCATGGATTGGAAGATGACAATTCTCTTCAACCCGATCTATAGATTCAATGTAACCCTAATCAATATCCACCTTTGCAGAAACTGAAAAACTGATTTTAAAATTCATAGGGATATACAAAGTACTTAGAATAGCCAAAACAATTTGAAAGAGAAGGATAAAGTTGGAGGACTAACACTGCACGATTTAAAATTTATTACATAGCTAAACTTTATATATATACCGGGGGTGCGATAAAAATGTATAGAAGTGGACACTTTGGTCAACGATGCTCAAGCAGTAGTTGCCATAATCAGAAGTGTCTGGACACTGATGGTAACCGCTCTGAGCACCTCTTGTCATTGCAGAAGTCAAATGTGACTTGTATTCATCTTTTGTTTTTGGTTTGTATCGAATATTACAATTAATACAGTTTTTTCCTGTCTTAAAATGTGTATACATTTATTTGGCACCATATATATATACATATATATATATATAAACTTTATTGGTTTTCTATTATGGTCAAAGATGATTATTTATTATTTGTGTTAACAGTCAAATGTAACTCATAAATAACATTTATACCTTTTTCAGAGTTGCCGTCTATGATTGCAATCTTGAATATATAAAATAGAGTGAAAAAATTTCCAGGATCCCATTGTTCAGCTTCTGCCACTGCTTCTTTAGCCTGAAAAAAGAATATTGGGTCTCTTTTATAAAAGCTTTAAAGAAGACCTTCCTGTATTTTACTAATATTATTAACATAGTCACAATGGCTGAGTGATACCCTAAAAGACATGAATCTAAGAAAAGTTTTTATAGAATTATTCTGTTTAAAATGCTAAAGAGACAATGCATTCTACATCTGAAAATAGGGTCCATTTTATATGTCAGACCAACTTTCCTACTGAAAACAAACATGTTGAATAACTTTTTTTTTTATTTCCTTCTGGTCTTTTTCTGTTAAATACTGTTTTATATAGTTAAGAATATACCATACATGTTACTTGCATTCACACACACACGAGTATATCTCCATATACATTCACAAGTATTTTTTCATATCATAAAAATCCTTTATAAAACATAACTTTTAATAGCACATGTTCCCTCATCATCTTTACCAACATTATAGCCAACATTTTGTAAAACCCAAAAGCAACTGAAAATATATGTAAAGTAATTACCAAGCAAAATCTAACAAAAAGTGAATTCTCAGAGAAGTAAGCAGAGAATTAAAGACACTTTTTGCCCGTGGGCATTAGTAAATCTAGGCAAGTATTATTTTTAGTTTTGTGTTTTGTTTTTTTAAACTGAGCCATCCTACCATCTGTTGGCAGCTCAGCAGCGGCTCAGCTCGGGCCGGGAATCAAACCAGCAACCTCGCTGCTCACAGCTTGCACTCTTGAGCGAGCTCTTAACCAACTGAGCCAACTGAGCCAGCCCCTATTTTTAGTTTTAATGGACCTCATTAGGTCAGGGAAACAGACATCATGGCCCAAGGGGTCACACTCTTAGGCTAAGGGCAAAAGCAGAAGTAAACCCACTCCTACAGACATCACCAGGGACTGCAAAGACGTTTCCCTGGTTGTGAGACGAATGCAGCAAAATGGGGTGGGGAGACCCAATCCCTGAGGAGTTAACTAAACAGATTCTTGCATGTATTTACAGCCCGAACTTACATTATATGGGAGGCCAAAAGACCTCAAGGCATGGATTTAGTTTACATTGGTCCCAAACATCAGAAGAAACAAGTATAAATAATTTCTAGGGGGAAGACACCATCATGTCAGGCTTCAAAATATTTCCAAGAATAGGTTTTCAAGAGTCATGAATAGAAAACATTAAAAAAATATCAAGCACACTGGGAAACAAAGCACCATAAGTGAGAGTCAGCAGAAATAGATTCTCAGTATGCAGATACCAGAATTATCAAAAACTGGCTACAAAATACCTATGTTATCAAAGTTTATGGAAATAAAAGATATGTTAAAAAACATATACAAGTAGGTTGACAGTCAATAGTACATACTGATATGGCTATAGTGGTTAATTCCAGCTGGTATCCATTCTTATTTATTATTGCCTGTGACATATCAGTTGTTAAATGCTTAGAATATCACAAAAGACTGTAGAAACAGAAACTATAAAATACAACCTTGTTGATCTGAAAAAAGGGAACGATTAGAAATGAAAAATATAATAACCCAAATGGAAAAATGAATTGGTTTAATAGCAAGTTACAAACAGGTGAGGAGAAAATTAGTGAACTTAAAGACAAAACAAAATAAATTAATCAAAGTGCAGCACAGAGAGATTACAAACATGGAAGACAGTAAGTAAGGATTCTGTCCTTTTTAGGACAACCATTATAAGAATAGACACAGTAAATAATTTCCATACTAGCAGAAGAGAGAAACCAGAAAGTTAAGAAAAAATAAGGATAGCATTTTCAACAACCAGTGCTGGAACAATTGGACATCCACATGCAAAAATAAGTAAATCTGGACACAGACCTTAAACATTTCACAAAAATTAACTCAAAATACACTATAAACCTGTATGTTAAACCTCAAACTACAGAATTCCTACAAGGTAAAACAGGAGAAAATCTAAGTGACCTTCAGTTTGGCAATGACTTTTTAAACACAACACCAAAAACATAATCCATGAAAGAAAAAACTGATGTTGGACTTCATTAAAATTACGAACTTCTGCTCTGTAAAAAACAGTTAAGAAAATGAAAAAATAAGCCACATGGTGAAAGAAAATATTTGCAAAACACATATCTGATAAAGCACTGGTGTCCAAAATACACAAAGAATTGTTAAAACTCAGTAAGAAAACCAAGAACCCAATTATAAAAGGGGCAAAAGACTTGAATGGACAGTTCACCAAAGAGAACATGCAGAGGGCATGTGAGCACATGAAAAGATGCTCAACATCATATTTCATCAGGGAAATGCAAATGCAAAGAACAGTGGGAACCACTACACACCTTCTGGAATGGCGAAAAACTAAAAACGACACCATCTAATGCTGGTGACGATGTGGAACAAGAGAAATTCTCATTCACTGCTGCTAAGAATGAAAATTAGCAGAGCCAGTTTACAAGACAGTTTGGCAGATTCTTACAAAACTAAACACACACTTGCTATAAGATTCAGCAGTTGCACTTCTTGGTCTATACCAAATGAGCTGAATAGCTAATGTCCAGAGAAAAACCTGCACATAAGTAGTTATAAAAACTTTATTCATAATTATGAAAATCTGGAAGCAACCAAGATGTCTTTCAATAGGTGGTAAAAATATAGTCAAAATCAGGACACCCTAATACTCTAAAGGCAGGATGTAAATCACATTTATTTCTATTATAAAAATACAACACAATGATATTAAAAATAATTACAGGTACAATAATTTGTTAATAGATACACAATATAAAAAGATGTAAAGTGTGACATCAAAGGCATAAAAAGTGAGGCAAGCAGTAAAAATGTACAGTTGTCCTATATAATTGATCAGAAGATATCAGCTTAAAATAGACCATTATATCTAAAACATATTTTATGTAAGCCTCATGGTAACCACAAAGAAAATATATAGTACATACATAAAAGATAAAGAGAAAGGAATTAAAGCATACTACTACTAAAAAAAAAGACAGCAAGAAAGGAAGAAAGGAACTTTCTGAATGAATTAAAAAAAGAGCCAAAAATATGCTACTTACAAGAGACTAATGTAGCTTTAAGGACACACAGAGGCTGAAAGAGAAGCGGATAGAAAAAGATGCTCCATTCAAACGGTAACCAAAAGAGCACCGAAATGGCTGAACTTATATCAGATAAAATAGACTTTGGTCAAAATTGGTCACGAGAGACAAAGAAGGTGATATAATGATAAAGGGGTCAATTCATCAAGAGGATATAATAATTATAAATATACATGTCGTTAACATTAGAAAACCTAAATACTTAAAGCAAATGTGAACTGAAGGGAGTAACAGACAGCAACAAATAACAGTAGGGGCTTCAACACCCCACTTTCAACAATGCATAGATAATCCAGACAGACAATTAATGAAGAAATAGTGAACTTGAATAACACTACAGACCAAATGAATCTGACACAGAGAACATTCTACCTAACAGCATCAGAAATTAAGACAGTAAGTAAGGATTCTATCCTTTTTAGGACAACCATTATAAGAATAGGCACAGTAAATAATTTCCACACTAGTAGAAATGAGGTGCTAGAGCTCAGAAAAATAATTAGAGATAAAATATATAAAGCATCTCAGAAATGAAGACTAATAAGAATAAATAAATATAGCCAATAATACCATAAGAGAATAGAAGGCAAAGAGAGAAAAAAACTTTAAAGTTAAGAAGAAATGAAGACAATATATATTTTACCACAATAAAAGATACACATTTTGAAAAGAAACAAAAATAAACAAAGTTATCTACAGATTCAATGCAATCCTTATGAAAATCCCCATGATGATTTTTGGTAGAAATTTAAAAAGAAAAAACCCATCCTAAAATTCGTATGTAATCTCAAAGGATTCTCAGTAGTCAAAAACAATCTTGGAAAAAAAGAATAAAGTTGGAAGACTCACTCACACTTCAAAACTTACTACAAAGTTACAGTAATCAAAAGAGTGTGCTACCAGTGTTAAGCACAGACATATGGGCCAACAAAATAGAATAGAAAGCCCAGAAATAAATCTTCACTTATATGGTCAAATGATTTTTGACTAGGGTTCCAGTACCATTCAATGGAAAAAGGACAGTCTTTTCAACAAATGATGTTGGGGAAACAGGATATCCACATAAAAAGAATGAAGGTGGAGCATTATCTTATACAATACACAAAAATTAACTCAAAATGGATCAAAAAACTACATGTAAAAGCTAAAATTATGAAGAGTCATAGAAGAAAACATAGGGGAAAGTCTGTATAACACTGGATTTGGCAGTGATTTCTTTTGGATGTGACACCAAAAGTACAGGCAAGTGTTTGTGCTTCAGAGAACACTACCAAAAAAGGGAAAAGGCAATCCACAGAATGGGAAAATGTATCTGCCAATCATACATTGATACTGGGTTAATGTCCAGAATATATAAAGAACTGTAACTCAACTACTAAAAAATAATCAACCCAATTTTAAAAATGGGCAAAAGAACTTGACATTTCTCCAAAGAAGACACCGAAATGGCCAATAAGCACTTGAAAAGATTTTCAACATCATTACTCATCAGGGAGATCCAAATAAAAAACCCCAGAGACCACTTCATAGCCATTAGAATGGATGTAATAAAAAAAACTAGACAACAACAAGTATTCATCAGGATGTAGAGAAATAGGAACATTGGTTGCCAGGGGCTGGGGTTGGGGGAGGTGGTGAGCTACTGTTTAAAGGGCACAGAGTTTCAGTTTTGCCAGATGAAAAGAGTTCTGGAGATGGATATGGCAGTGGTTGCACTACACTGTGTATGTACTTAATGCCACTGAACTGTACACGTAAAAACAGTTAAGATGGTAAATTTTCCCACAATTAAAAAAAATCAATTGTATTTCTATATACTAGCAATGACCAACTGTAAATTGAAATTAACAAAGTGAGACCTTTTGCAATATTGTCGAAAACATGAATTCTTTGGCATAAAGTTAACAAAATATGTG